ACAGTAAATTATTCCATATATCAGGCTTTAAAGTTGGAACATTTTTCATGATAGCCACCAACAATCAGACACAGACACGACATCGAACAAAAAGCTGAATTTATTATAATGATTTCAGGAATTACGATATATTAGAATTACAAACATACCTACATATGTATATACGTATATGTATGTATATACAATGTGGTGCTTAATGTTTTATTATATACATATGTATGTATATATGTATGTATTTATATTTAAATTTATCTTGGCAATTTCCGACAAAATGTATCATATTTTCTAGTTTTTGTTTTTTTTTTTTTATTATTTTTTTTCTTTATTGTTGTTTTATTTTTATGTTTTTTCTTTATTTTTTTTTTTTTTTTTTTTTTTTTTTTCTAGTTAAACAAATCAATTTTAGTCGCCAAAAATTGGGAAATACCAGGTTTAAAACTGTACATTACTCACACACATGCATTTGCCTCTGCAATTAGTACTAAGAACCCGGAAGGTGATATTTATTATTTTAATATTTACATTATATTTAATCAGAAATTTTCATAAATGTACATATATAATAATTCTGAATATATCTCTTTGAAAAACTTTTATTATTATCCAAACTTTGTTATAATAAACAATCCGTCTAGATGACGCCAGCCAAAATAAAAAAAATTTAGGCTGTTGAACAAAAAAATGAAATAGAATTTGCGCATTCTCTTTGATAGCAAAAATGTTATAAATTACAAAAATATCTTAATCTGAATAATAATTAATACTATTTTACATCAATATAATATTCAAAATATAAATAAATAATGTATATAACAATATATATTTTCTTATAATTTAACTGTTAATTTATATTTTCAAAATTTGAATAACATCTCTCAATTCCTAGAAAATGAACGTTAAATAACATTTTTCTCAATATTAAAATGTTAATAACATTTTGATCTTGCTCTTTGTGTCTGTTGTAATAACATGAAACTTGAATGCTTTTATAAACTGGCAACAGGGTGCACAATATTGCCTGTGCATAAATTTTGACTTGAATTATATGATGACTAATCAGGGTCATATATAGAACGATTCACACAAAAGAGTCGCAACATATAAACGCTAATAATACATGACATTAAATATGACAGAATTGTGAATAAGGCTGTTACCTGTATCTTTTATCTTATATTAACTATTATAATTATCCTGCGATTGAAATACAATTGCAAATTGAACACATTATCTATTTAATATAAATTCAAAAAAAATTTGTAAAACTGAAATATATATGACTATTAAAAACATATTTACACTTGTCATATGATTCATATTTGTAATCGGTATATTTCTAGTTATAATATGCAATATGACAATATATGACATTT